ATAAATTAATTTTGGGAATGATAGATAGATAGACAGAAAATGAACAAAGTGAAAAAGGCTTCATTGACTATACCCAATTCCTGCTGAATCCTATTGATCATAATTCCAGAAGCAGATGCTGCTGCCTGTGGGAGATTTTAGAGTAATGGGTAGGATGTGCTTAAACACTAAAACGTACAATTCAGTGAAACATCCACCTCTTCATCCTCCCAGCAGCATTCCTACATGTGGATAAGTCAAATGCCTTGATCTGTTATATACGTTTCTAGAATTCCTTACTTGGCGGGTAGTGTAAATATCTGAGTAAAAAGACTGAATAGTGTAAAGTACAGAAATGTACTTAGGAGTAATGAATTGAGGCCAGGCAGACATGGGCTATTGAGGGGAGTGAAGTCAGCTCTGTTCCCTTTGCAGAGCAACCATTTACTACATGGAGAGAACGAAGCTTATGTGCATCCAAGGGCTATTTCATTGAGCTCCAATTCAGAACTTATCATGGTTTTGAGAAATGGTTTTCTGAAATAATCATGGTTTTGGAAAGTGAGCTAGATGGGAGAAAGTCTCAAAGTCCTTTGCATTTTGTTAGCCTGACTCCCATGTGGCGGAGCAAGAGGAGAATTCATAGTTCCAAATCTTTTAAGACTTATAAAATATATGCTAAAAGATGATAAGTAAAGTAAAAACGTGTGTGTGTAATGATACACAACATGTTTTAATGTCTATGTTTATAGAAAGTCGTTGGAAAAATTCTGTATTGTATGTTTCCATATGTTGGTATATTGCTATCATAGGTGGGGATACCAGCTTTACTATTGAGTAACATGTGGGAATGGAAAATAATAAATATTGAAAAATATTATTATAAGTAATGTGTAATCTCTAGAGAACTTATGATCTTTTGTATATCGGCAAAATAGAGAAAGAACCTCCTTGGCAGTGCTACTCTAAGATTGCTGTCTCTGCATCTCTTTGATAGTGCAGGATCAACTTACAAAACTAATATGGTGGTCAGATGCAAATTGAAAGTGGGTTGTTCTTTTTGAAAAATATGTTAGAGGGTATGTTGTAATGACGAGGCAGTCGAGTTGTTTGATCATGAACAACTGAATCATGATGATCTTTATTGGAGTCTAGTCTTGCATTTATACACATTTTTAGTTATCCTCCATCATTGGTTAACTTTGGTTACTGCTTAACTTTCGTTACTGTTTAGCACAGTAATTAATACAATTAATTATCTCTAGTTAAAGTCTAACATATGTTTACTTCCTCTCTCTAATCCTCCTTTAGATTAGTGACTTTGTTTGCCTGAGTTGTATTTGCTTGGAAACATTCTTTATCTGAGGTTTGCCATCTGAGATTGGAACATTCCTGCAATTACAACTCTACAAGGGTATATAATTTTACATAACCTTATATATTCATATATGTAGTTACTTTCAACTCCTAGTGTAGATAGATGATAGATAGATAGATAGATAGATGATAGATATATAGATATATAGATATATAGATAGATAGATAGATAGATAGATGATAGATAGATAGATAGATAGATAGATAGATAGATAGATAGATAGATAGATAGGCAGGCAGGCAGGCAGGCAGGCAGGCAGGCAATAGATAGACAGAGAACCCTGAGTAATAAAGTAGCTTAAGTATAATAGCTGAATTTTCACTTTTTATTTTAAATTGAACTTTAATTTACAAGTGGAAATAATAAAATTAGAATATAATTTAAGACATCTGATCTCTTTTAAAACATATATTGATGAAAACATTGGCTATACTTGAACAAGATTCTCTCATACCCCATTTTCATGCCTACTGCTAATAGAAGTGTTCATTCTTTTTCCTTTCATTTGCTATGAATACATTGAGAAATGTTAAGAGCTGAGAAAAGCAGAAATGACATTAATCTGAAAAGACTTCCAATTTTTATGACTACAATTTTAATACTGTTGAAATAAGTGTTAGAATATGAACATTATTTTGATAGTGTTGTATTTTAAACATATGTGCACATACGTATTCTGAAATTGAGAAGAGAATAGAAAAACCTTTAAAATTAGAAACACAATCTTAGTAAAAATTTTAGTAATCTTAAAATGGCAAATGCAATTGTTTCCTAGTTTCTTACAGTATATTATATAATTTGTCCCACTATTGAGTTATCAGAAATACAGTTTCTTTGGGGAAAAAAGGTAATAAACTATTTCTGTGCTATAACCTTATTTGAACATTTATACAGGTTAATAAGTTTTCGGATTCTGCTTTTCATCAGATTTCTAGAAAAGCCAGTGGACTTTCTGTTACCTTTTCAAATGTGGCTTTAGCAGTGGCCTCTTTCCAGTTATTTTCCCAAGACAACAAAGGTCTTTCCATTCTGATTCATTCCAGTGTCCGTATGAGTAGAATGCCATCAGATATCAACTTCTCTTTGTCAAACCATGAATATGTATTTTGTCAATGAACTCATTCAAGTTACCTAAGTCTTATTTGGTAATGATCCAGTGACATTTTTCCAGTCCTAGCTGAAAGTAAACTTGTTGAACTTTATTTAATAATAAATATATGTAAAACTCCCTTTTTATAATCAGATAATCCCTTAATTCGGAGTAGAGTTGGGGCAATGAGCTGAGCATTTACTTGACTTTTTCTTCAGCATAGGAAATATTTAATATCTGTAAATTAATTACAATTTGGACTCTTCAAGCAAAAAAATTCTAGAAACTATAAAACCTACAGTTAAATTCAGTTCTAAATTTGATAATTTGTTAGTTAGTCTTTGAATTCAGGAGTTGTTCAATAATGCTACCCTGCATGGCATTCACTTAACTACTACATAGAAGGATCAAAGCAATAATCTTCTGTTAAAATAAATATAGTGGGAATTAATGACAGACATCGAAAAATGAAGTGTGTTTTCAGGGAGTTATTATATTCTGACATGCACTATAATTTTATAAGCATCTAGGCAATGAATTAGAGATGTGACTGTAGTTCAGGGGCTTTTCCAAAGATAGCATTTGTTCAAAATTTGGAAAATAGTTGTCCTGGTCTTCACAGACCACAAAGGAGGCCTAGATCAGAGGTGGTATTCAGCAGGTTCTGACCAGTTCTGGAGAACCGGTAGCAGAAATTTTGAGTGGTTTGGAGAACCGGCACATACCACCTCTAACTCGCCCCGCCCCCATCTATTCTCTGCCTCCTGAGTCCGAGCTGATCGGCTGGTTCTTCTTTTGTTGTCCTATACAGGAGAACAGAGCTGGAAAGCAGGTTAGTGGGGTGTGGAGGGAATGGGATTTTCCAGTCACCTTCCCCCAGGTGTGGGGAAGAAATGGGGATTTTGCAGTAATCTTCCCCTGGACTGGGGTGGGAATGGAGATTTTACAGTATTCTTCCCCTCCAATGCTCACCAAACCATGCCACAGAACCGGTAGTAAAAAATTTTGAATCCCACCACTGGCCTAGATGCATCTATGAAAGGAAGGAATCCTCTTTCTTCCCAAGGAAGAAATATAGTAGCAATTAGTGATTGTCTATTGTCTGTTTTACCCAGCTGTGTATGTATTGTATTGTTGTGTATTTTCTGAATAATGCTTATATTCAGCAATATTCCTTATTGCTATGAAAGTTTTTAAGAACCACAGACTACAACAGAATCATATTGTCGTATAATTCCATTTTATTAAAAAAAACAATCTTGGGTAGATTTCACATTTTTATTTATAATACAATTAGAACTGTGTCTGACAAAAACCGTTTATCATGTTATCATGTTGCCACACTTAGCAGCTGGAAAAGATTATAGAGCTTGATGAAACAGCTGCTTTTTCTTCATGACACTTAGAGTCCCATTTTTGGCAGTGTACCATAGACACTGTCCCACCAGATAGAACAGAGCAGAAAATGAACTCCACAGGAAACTATAACTTATAATGCATTAGGAATTAGGAAGTCATAGGACTAATTTCTGAATATTACCTCGTAGTTCTGGACTCCATTTGCCTAGGCAATGGAGCGTACATATAATTATCAAAGTCATCTTTTTTACTCTCTACAAGATCTTAGCATTAAATCGCAGACCCCCAAATTTTATATGGCTTAACTAAACTGCTGGGTTTGAACTCAGCAAAACCTTTTATCAGACACATGCAAAAATAGGCTACGTTATTTCTTTTGTTGCAAACTAATATAAAGTCATATCAAAATGTTGGTTGCCCTGTTATCATGAGGTTGTAGTTCCTTATTATCTACCGTAAGTGCTGTTGCTTCATGGCCTTGAAACTGAGCAGATATTAATATAAATTGGCTGTCAACGTATCTCTCACAGGCCATGATGGTTTGTTTCCAAGCATATGCAAAAATGTATATCTGAAGCTATATAATTTATAATATAAATATATGAAAAATATGTTATAATGTAATGACAGGCCATACAGAAATGTTGCACGTATTTGAAACAAATAGTCATCTTAGATTCAGATTCAGTTACCTGGAAGTAAGTTCTTTTCTTTCTGAAAATAAATGTAAAATTATGCTTTCAAATAAGATAATGGGACTATAAGAGAGTTTATTTCTAGCAAATGCAGATTAGATTTCACTAAGTGGTTTCCTTTACTTAGATTGGTGACACGATTTAATCTGACATTTTCAATCAGCGGAAATATAAGTGCATTATTGCAATGTTGCATGCACAGTTTTTTGCCTGAGTATTTTGTCCCCTGGGTGTATTTCAACTACCTTTAAAATAATGTAACTTCTATAAATAAGTAGCTTCCATTTTTGAACTCTAGAAATTATAAAGGAAGTTGCTGTATCATTTATTGGGGGGCTCGTTTCTGAACTGAACTGCTTATGACTGAATTTAATTCTGCTCTGTCTTGAAAACAGCTAATTATTTGTGCACAGTTGAAATATATGTAATTGCATGCCCAGACACATATTTGCAAGAAAATAAAGATACCATTGTTTCAGGGATTGTAAATTATTTTCAGAATTTCAGAATTTGAAAAGGGATAAGTGGAAGGAGAAAATGTTGGGCTGGTGCCAAGCGATAGCTCGTAATCCTCTCAGATTCCCAAACAGCACAAGAACGCCTGAAGTCACAGGTGATGCTTCACATATCTCTGCCTTGGTGAGTGGATGTTCTATTTCATGATGATGGCATTGTACAAAAAATCCCTGAATTGAAAATTCCTAGTGCCATCCCTTTTGTCCAAGCAATAGTCTTATAGCTTGTTCAGTATCTGAATCTACTTTTACTTTATATTTTCCTTTGTGTTTTGTTCTGCAAGCAGGTACATGTTCAGATTTCTAACATTGCAATTTTTTGTTCATTTATTTTTGGTTTGCTTGTCTTTTATGTCATGGCTGTTAAAGTAATTTTTTGTGGGGGGGGGGGGGGCTGCTTTGTGATGTGTTGTGCTTTCTTAAGTTTGTAAGCTAATATTTCCTCCTTTTATCCCTTTCAGAATATTGACAACATATATAGCTGTCTGTATATCTTTACAAGTCTTTTGTGCATGATATGAGTACGAGGGTCTTCTTTAAAGGGACTATTTTGCTTGATTGTAAATTTAGTTGTGGTATGAACAAGAAAATTTAATTTTACAAATAACTTGCATTTTTCACATTTCCTGCATGGTGTGAAGAGATTCAATATCTGTAATTTAAATTACATTTTAGTTTTAAATAAAATTTGTTAGAATGAGGTACGTTTTTCCAGATTGACAGATATTTGTTAAAAGAAAATTATTTTGAAACTTAATACTACACTCATAGAATATACTGAATGTCAAAATAAAAATGATTACAACCTATTTAGCTTGGAGGTTTTTTAATTCTTTTTTGTTGTTATTTTGCAATCTAATTTACTTGATGGATACTTTGAATCTCTTAGCAGTCAATATGTAACAGAGAAAGAAAGTAGTCCTTCAGTTCCATTTTAATATTTCCATGCAAAGTTTATTATAATATTCAGTACTAGGAATGGAACCAAATATCCTTGTGTCATTAGTATAAATTGCCAGAATTGCTGTATTTATATGCCAACCCTTAAAAAAAGAGACTTCTATGTGAATTTACTATCATGTCTTGAAATTCTGAATTTCATATATGATTTGTCTTCTAATTTTCAGAAAAAGATATTGTCTTCTAATGCAATGAAAGTCAAAAATCAATCATAACAAAATGTTGATATTTCATTTTTGATTATTATGATTATCTTTCTTACCTAGTTGCAGCAACTTATTTAACTGGGTTTAAAATGAACTATTTAATGACCAGCACATTTTTTCCGCCAAAAGTATTTAAGTTAATGGAAGGACGAGGAATGCTAAGAATCCGCTAAGAATCTCTGTTGCTATTGTTTTCATCATCAATTTAATTAGATCTATTAGCTTAATTAATTTTGAAGAAAACTTAGAAGCATTTCTTGAAGTTGTGTCTTGACTGTAATACCATACTAAATTGTACTATAGTACTACTTAACTATTTCAAAATAAAAATTTGGATCCTTATGCATTATTATATCATTTGATATGATTAAAATAAAGTATCTTGTGTAGAAAAAAAATTCTATTATATTAAGCTACATAGTAGTCTGATTATTTTGCAATATTTTACAGTATGGAATTTACCTGAAGTGTATATCATTTAAGCATATTGGCTACTTACTTAGCATTTAGTAAGTTTAGATCAAAAATATTACCAAATTCTTTTGGTAAGAATTCTTACCAAAATCAAGATGTTAAAATGATGGAGAACTGCTGCTTCAATAGTATGTCAGTTTCATACTTCTTCTTTTTTAACCTTCGGAAACGTTTAACATTTTTAGTGTTTTACATGAGGCTGATATATTAAGTCATGCATTACTAAAGAGCTGTCAAGAAGAAACATTTGGAACACAAAAAAGGAAATAAAGGAACAGTCCTTCAGTTATGAAACGTGGACCTGGAATGAAAAGAGAAGTGAATAATTGTTAAAAATCAGATTTTTCAGCTAAGCGGAGAGATAATGTAGGAAATGGAAGAAAACAAAGCAAGCTTGTAAATTCTTCTCCTTGTGAGAATATTTTTTTAAAAATTTTCATCAGAAAATTTAGCCAGCTTTGAATGCTTTGAATGATAGTTGGTCAGTCTACTTTTTTCAGAGGTTAGAAAGTGGTTTTCACTCCGCCTCAGACAATTCAGTTAAAGCTTGGGCACAGATGATTGTGTAAATGTGCATTCTTGCTTCTAGTATCCTGAACACTGTAGAAAAAAAAATGGGAGAAAATGTATGAAAAGCAGAAGTTATATCTCTGGTTATTTTTCTTTTCTTTTACATGCACATCTTGCTTTTTTTATCCTTAGGGAATGTGTTCCTTATAATATCACTTTCCATTTTGTTTTTTTCATTCTTCAGCTTCTTGAAATACTGATTATGAAAAGAAGACATGCAAAGGAAAAAAAGTATATATGCTAACCCCCATGTAGCCATGTAATAACTAAAATGGTAAATGTTGTGGTTAGCTGGCAGCAGGTGCGGACAGCTGAGGAGAGCAAGGACTCAGATGAGGGGCCAGGACCATTAGGGAGTAGACTGCTGCCTTCAGAGATTGTGGGGGCTGGCAGCAGCGATGAGGAGGTTTCCGAGGTGCCTGAGCCAAGTGCGCATGTGCGCAGGATTGCTAGCAGGAAAGAGCAGCTGCAACAGCATGGGTGACTCAGGAATAAGGCTGCAAGGTAATGGCCCCTCCTTCAAGAAGATAAAAGCCAGCTATGAAGCGAACGTTCTTTACAGGAAGCAAAGACGTTTTGAAATTCAGTCTCATGGACATTATAGTATCTTAAGCTGGACTCTTGTGTTGTGAAATATTTCTTATCTGTGATTCTTAGCAGTCTCGTACAGTTTTGGCAAGGTTTGTGCTTATCAAAGTTTATTAGTTTGCAGCAGCCTTTTAACCAGGGATTCATAAGACTCATTAAAAGGTTTCTGTTATTGTTTGTCTTCTTGGAAAAGGGTTTGGGTCAGAACATTAAAAGATGTTTGAAGCAAAAAAGGAAACATGGAGAAAAAAGATATCTTTCTTCATTTCCTCTTCTTTGTTACTTCTCACTTTATCTTGAGATAATTTCAAACATAGTGTAGAAAAAGTTTGTATAAACATCGCTGTTATCTTCTATAGTGGCAGAAATTTTACCCAAACTCAAGTGTTAGATATGTATTATCTAGACTTTTCAGTTTTCAGACTGGACATAGAATTGAGTTGACATTACTCATATCTCTCAACCTCTGGTAGCACCTGGTTCTACTCGATCTCTCAGCAACTTTTAATATTTTGACCAGGAATTTTTCTGGTCAATTGAGAGGTATGAGGTTCTTGTGGTCCATCTGTGTTGGGTAGAGGAAGAGAAGCAAACTCTGCAAACAATAACAACAACAAAAGTAGCAATAATACATGCAAACTAGTAAATAAGTAAAGAACCCACTGAACTCAAAGAGCATTGAAAACGGCGTAGAATGTTATTTCAGTGGCTCTTGAAAGAACATTGCCAAGAATTTTCTATATGGAGAAGGCATCTACTAATAACCAAGGGAGTGGCCATCTATCTGAGCTCTGCTCTCCCCCCCCCCCTTCATCTGAGATGGTGGGGAGAACAAACAGCAACAATACTGGAAAATCAATCTGGGCAAATTCAAAGAATATAAGTGTCCACAGGTGTGTCAGGCACATCTGATAATCATGAACCTTCAGACAATGATAATAAACTTCTACCTTCTTGCTAATAGAAAAGGCTGCTTCATAATTCAAATGCTTTGCACCTTCCTATTTCTTATTTCTATTATAGTGTCAAACCAATTTTACACTCAACGACTAAGCTATTTATCAAATATGAACTGTAGAGCTCGTAGCTCTAAAATTTTATATTCCTAAAAGTAAGCAGGAGGATGAAGGAGATTGGTAGATCTTTAGATCTTTCCCAATTATTTTGTTTTAGGAAATAATTATGAAAGACAAGCACAGTGTTTATCTAAAAAGATGTTTTTTTGTGTGAATAAATTGCATCAAAATTGTAGAATTGGGTTATTCTTCCATTTGTTACAAACACAGCAGGTTTCTAGAATCTGAATTATAAGAACTATGATGAGGAAGGCCAAATTTTGTGGGTTTTTATAAAACAGGTTGTCCCAAATCAGCCTTTATTGTTTCATGAAGTAATCACAGTAATCTTAATTAATTTTGACATTTGAACTGATTGGTCTAAATTGGCAATTGCATTTTCACACTTCCACATTACATGTTAGATTATTTTACTTATGAAATCTGAAATGAGCCAAATGTTGATTCTGTTTGATCATCCAAACTTTTATATATTTCAATTAAATCTTCACAAAATTTTGATTGCATAGTGGCAAAAATTCAGAAAATTAAAAAGGGCTGAATCCTTTTTCACAAAACTGAACTTTGTTCCTAGCATAATTGAGAACTCATTGTTCAGAAAGAATGGCAAGTTGGTCAGAAAATGAGTGAGCTAGGACATTTTGAGTACAGTAAAATATTTTCCTTGTAGAATTATAGGTTAGTTAAGTTAGATCAAAACAAATCTGAGTGTAAATTTTTGCACTAGATGGAACTAAATCCTGAATTAGTTTTCAGTCACCATATTCTGCAGGTCTTTTGTAATGGTCTGAAGATAAGAATCAAGTGTCACCTATAACTGACTTAAAGTAATCACTCTCCAGTTTTATTTAAACATTTTAAAAATGCTGAATCAACTCAAATTATCAGTATTTGCATCAACATTTCCTTTTCTTCTAGTGGTATAGTTATAAAAAAAAACAACTAAATATAGACTGCATTTAGGACAACTGCTCATTTCTAAGAAAGAGGTTTGCCTTCATCTGCCTCCATACCCATATTTTCAGCTAAACTTAGTCAACCAACTCCCTTTTAATGTAGATTATTTACTGGACAAAATAATTTTCCTTTTAATGAATATCCTACCTGTATTTCTGAACTGTTCCAAAACAACATTGATTGGCAATGATGCACAAGTTTCAGAAAAACTGGAAGATCTTTTTCCACACCAAATTGTAAGACTGATTATTCTGCAAGGCTGAGAAATTTTTCCCTTCCAAATCAGTCTAGAC